ACACTTAAAATTTATAATAAAGTTTTGGTCTCTTTAAAGCTTGGGCTCTTTTTAATCTTAGCTCATTTGGTCAGAGAACAAAAAGTTGAATTATAATTCCTTCTTCCCAATTCATAACACTCAAAAACAGATGCTAAGTTCCGTATACAATAAAAAAAAAGCTTCCAACGAGACTCTTGCAAATGATTCCAACGAGAATTGTTAAAACCATGGCAACGGTTCTAAAGAAGTACGGTACAATCTTTTCCAAGCATAATATACGGATTTTTTCCTACTCCGAGTATGTTAAGGCTATCCCTTCTTTGTTTTGGCATGATCCATAAGATACAAACGAAACGAATAAATGCACTACTTCAATAAATGACTCTATTCATAGAAGTATTAGAAATGCCTATGTTCTTGAACACCCATATGTCTTACTATCCTATCGTCTGTTCATGGGTCTCAGAGAATAAGTAAGTGTATAAAGCTTATTTTATGATATTAATCAGAGGTATAATGGTCTTATGACGTTCCGAGAAGTTTTAATAACGTACTTCTCATGCATTGCATTCATTTACATGTGCATTCACCCATGACTCAGACGGTGTTATATACGTGTATATATGTATATATATGTATATGATATATGTGAAAGGGTTACGACGTTATATACGCATTACCACCTGATCAGCTGTTATACGTTGATGATTTGCCCACAGTGGCCGATATGATATGATAGGATGCCCTCAGAGGCCTGATGATGTTATGAAACATGTACCTATGCATTACATGATATTTATACGCATATGCATGACATTATAAATGTATCATAATTTACAAAGCTATCCATACTTACAGGTTGAGTCATTTACTCTATAATTCTTCCATGTCTGTTATGTATCTATTTATGTGCCTTACATACTCGGTACATTATTCGTACTGACGTCCCCTTTGCCTGAGGACGCTGCGTTTCAAGCCCGCAGGTCCCGATAGACAGATCGAGAGCCCTTCAAGTAGGCTATCATCTCAGCGAAAGATGTTGGTGCTTTCCATTAGCTTCGGAGTTGCTCGTTTGGTTAGTATGATTTAGACGTGTATTGCTTTATGGCGGGACTCTGTCCCGACCTTTATGAAAATTATGTATTCTTAGAGGCTTGTAGACAGATGTCATGTACGTAAAAGATTGTATGGCCTTGTCGGCATATGTTCAATATACGAGTGGATATTTGATTTTATAGGCCTATATGTCTTATGTATAAATTGGTATCTCACGTTGTATTCTACTTATCTCACGGCAGCCTTCCGGCTCAGTTATCTATGATAGTATACAACGTTATGTTGGTACTTGATTGTGTAAAGTACTGGGTGCTCGTCACGATCCATCGGTTTGGGTCGTGACACATATCTTCGCATAAACCCATCCGATACTACCCTTTCCAAAAGAACCTTTTTTGAAACATACTACCATTCCTATAACAATTCCATCGGTTTCATTCACCGTTGGGTCCAGAACTACACATAGCCTGATTCCTGTAAAACCAGGGATACGTAGGCAGCTCAGAGACCAGGGTGCGGCCTATATTTTTCAAAGATCCCATTCGGTCAAAATCGGTCATCATTTCTTTACTCGACAACACTTTCATCCTTTCCGGGCAAAGAGGGCCAGCTGTTGATACCCAATTTTTCCCTCGTATATTTCAAAATGCATATATACTTTCAAAATAGTGCATGAGCATCAACCAGTATTTTTTTTATAATTTTCTGTAATTTTAAAAAGATTCTAATCAATTTATTCCAGCATTTTATTATCTAAATAATTACTAATTGCATCACAAATAATTTTATAATAATTTGTTACTTGATTTTTATCATTTATATTCATATTAAGCTTTAATCATTTTATGCATAATTATATTTGTGTCTTTAGGCTATAACTGCAATAATAGCCCATATATGCATAATTACATTATTTACATGGAAAATAACTTTTTATATTTTTATAATATTAAGTAATTATTTTAAATTATTTTCATGCACAAATGACATTTTTATCATTTATAAATTATTTTATAAAATTAAATGGATATATAAAACATAGCCATTTTTAATTAAATTTTCGGACCTCCCAGCCCAATACTAGCCAGCCCAATTACCCTAACCCATAACCCAAATACCTACCCATTTAAAACTCGACCTAGCCTAATTTTAATACTGGCCGTTTATCTCAGAAGATCAACGGTCCAGGATTAATTTTCCTTTTTTAATTATATCAACCCCTAAACCCTACCCTCATTTCTCCCAACCCGCCGCCTCTGGATCCCTTATCTCATCTCTTCTCTCTCTCACCCCCCCCCCCAAACCCTAGCCCGCCATCACTGATATCCACCTTGATTCATGGGGGTTTTCCTTCGATTTCATGCATTATCTGGCCTCACCTCTCTACTGGTTAAACGATTTCTATGTTGCTTGGTGTGAATCTCAAAAGACTCAAACCAAATCTGGTTCAAAGTCTCTCATTTCTCGATTATTCCGTCTATGTTCACTCCGATACCTGTGAGTACGAGTATTTTCGTATTTTTTGGGTTTCAAATCTCTGGTTCAAACCAGATTTGATTTGCTTCTGACTATTTTCATGGACCTAGCTATTTTCTAGTTGAATCCGTTTAGATCTCTTTAGATCTGAAGCGATTTTATGTTTGTTTGGTATTTCTCCCTTAAAATTTTCTATTTTTTTGCTATTATTATTGACCGATTTCATTTACCCTAAAAGCTAGGGTTTTGATTTCTGATGGATTTCTGCAAAAAAGGTTTTAGCGTTTAAATGTTTTCATCTCCGATTTTCTTATTTACTTTTTCGATTGATTTTTACTTGATCTAATCAAGCTCCATCTATATGTCTTTGTATTTCTTAGGGTTTCGATTATTTGACTATTTATTCTACTGTCTTTTGCCCGTTTACCTTTAATTTTGTCAATTAAGTGTTAATTAATTTTGCTTACCTAAATTAGGGTTTGGGAATCAGCTTTTCTTTTAGTACCAGTATTGCCTTATTAAGATTTTACATATTCTTACCTTATTTATGTGATTAATTATCTGTACTACTTGATGGATTTTGTGTTGTGACTCCTAATTGATTTTGGAATTAGTTCTTACCTTGTTTAACCTTATTCTTAATTACTGATTGATTCCGTGTGAGATTTTTCTTAAATTAAGTGATACTTACTCGATTCTGTCCTGTTAATTGATTCATGCTCACCTTAATTGATTGTTAATTGATTTTCATACCTTATTTTTGTGTTATTGGTTCATTACCTTATTTGTTTTACTCTATTGTATGCTATAAAAAACCCTCCCTTGTTCCGATTTTGGACACGTTTTACAACCTTTCAACTGAACAACTTTACCATTCTCGAACTCTTTGTTCTCACAAAACCTTAAGCTCTCTCTTTACTCCCTTGTTCTGATTTTTGCACTAAGTCGTTCTTATTTGGCCGGCTGAAAGCCAAGGCCAAATTCTCTGGATTTTAACTCCCATTGCATTCTTTTTTGCTTTCTTCTCAACTGGTATGCCTTAACTCCTACTATTCTGTTCCCCATGCCTTATTTGATTATTCTGTTTCAATCTTCAGCATGATTCTGTTTGCTATGTGACTACATGATCCCACTTAGTGATAATGCTAAACTAAGTTATTTCAATAATGAGAAGTCTTTCCTAAGTCAGTTTTATGTCTCTTGTTTTGAACATTGTTAGATACGGCAAATATGTAACTAGATATACTTATGGCTCAATTCATATATCATGTCTGTTTAATTCAAGTGTTTTTGCCTCTGTGATTGCTTTAAATACTAGTATGAATATCTAGTCTAAACAACTGCCAATTTGCTTGAACTATGTGCTGAACATGGACTTTGTTATTTCTTGGTGCAGTTCTGTTTGCAACTCTGTATATTTGTATATGGTGAAATCGGGAGGTCCATTTTCCCCGTCATTAGGGTGCCCCTCGAACGTGCTTCTCGAGGCTCGAGACCGAGGTCGAAGCTCACCTTCGAGGGCTGTTGGGTTTCGACCTCGGGGCAGTGCAGACCAACGACTATACTGGGGAAGAGGGGAATTCCCAAGGAGTGTAGCCAGGGATGATAAAGTCTGTCAGGCTATTCTGAAGTAGTTAGTCTGAGCCTACATCATGGCATTAGCTAGCTGTCCCATCCCTACTCCTTTGTCATTAATGTATTTTGTACTATGTTGGGATTTCCTTCCTATATAAAGGGGGGTCTTTGACAATATAGAAGAACATTCTCTTTTCTCTCTCTAACATATTCTCTTGATATTATTTCTCTCATTTCCTGTATTCATACTTGTTCTTCATTTATTACTTATCATTGGCTATAAAGAGCCTTCGCTGATTGTTTTATAACTGTTAGCCCCTCCCCGATTATCCTTAATAGCTCGAGCCCGAGCCCTGGAATCGAACTCGAGGCCCCGTATCGATCAGCCCGAGGCCCCGATTGGCTAGCTCACCGATTTGATTCTAACTCTATTTTAGCTCGCATTTCATCTCCAAACTTCGTACACATAGAATCATCCGCTTAAACAACTAGCATAAAAATAGATCATGTATTTTTAGAGTCTCATCAACAAATTTAATTGTTATTACCAATTTTACGACAAACAGTTTGGCGCCCACCGTGGGGCTAAAAATAATAGTGATTATTTTCTTGCTAGTTTCATTACAAAACGCAAGTTATCTTTCATGCTTTTTCTTGTCCAAGATCTTTGATTTCAGGTCGTAATGTCTGGCTCCGTAAATGGAGTGGAAAACGACAACCTTGAAAACCACAGAGAAAAGGATATGGTTGTTCCAGGTGTCGGTGTACCACTGCAGAACTCAACCTGGGGGGAAGAAGAGGTTCTTTGGCACAACGTCCAAATGATTATTGGAGGGACCGACATCCCCCAAGGACCCATGTTCAAATAAACATGAACTTCCACCACAGAAGAAGGGCCGACCCAAAACCGCATGGCCGAAGACACCCTCGCGTTCAGCGAGGAGGATCTCGACACCATGACAGAACTGCACAATGACGCGTTGGTGATCTCATTTCTTTTAAACAATACTAGGATCAAATGTGTGCTCATAGACCCAGGCAGCTCGACCAACATAATCAGATCAGAGGTAGTAGGACAGCTGGGGCTACTCGATCGAGTCACACCTATCTCCCGGGTTCTCCACGGCTTCAACATGACCGACGAAGTAACAAAAGGAGAGATCACCCTCCCGGTCGACACGTCTGGTGCGGTTCGGAACACCGAGTTCCAAGTCATCGATGGTGACATGAGGTACAATGCATTGCATGGCAGGCCTTGGATACACAGCATGAGGGCAGTTCCGTCAACCCTACACCAGGTGATAAAATTCCCCACAAAGGACGGCTAACGACCGTATATGGAGAATAGCGGGCGACGAAAGAAATGTTTGCAGTTTACCATGAGGTACCGACCCCAACGCACCCGACCTTGGACGAGCCTGGGAACGTACAGACCCCCGAGGACGACGAAGAAGATTTCTTCGCTCCTCGAACCTTCGTTGCCCTCGAAGAATCAGACGCAACTAAGTCAACAATCGAGGATCTGGAGCAGACTGTTTTGATCAAACGCCTCCCGGACCGTAAGGTATACTTGGGAACGGAACTAACCCCCGAACTCAGGAAAGGATTCATTCAATTTCTTATTAACAATATCGACTATTTCGCTTGGTCCCACTTAGATATGACAGGAATTCCGCCGGAAATAACCTCCCACAGACTGAGTGTCGATCCCAGGTTTAAACCGGTAAAGCAGAAGAGAAGACCACAGTACGAGGTAAAACACACCTTCATCAAGGAACAGGTAACGAAACTTCTTAAAATAGGGTCCATTAGAGAGGTAAAGTACCCCGAATGGCTGGCCAATGTAGTAGTAGTACCTAAAAAGGGAAATAAGCTAATAATGTGCGTAGATTATAAAGACTTGAATAAGGCGTGCCCCAAAGATTCCTTCCCGTTGCCTAACATCGATCGTCTGATCGACGCCACGACGGGCCACGAGACCCTCACCTTTCTCGATGCCTACTCGGGGTATAATCAAATCCAGATGAACCCCGAGGATAGGGAGAAGACCTCATTCATCACGAAGTACGGCACCTACTGCTACAACGTAATGCCCTTCGGGCTAAAAAATGCAGGGGCTACATATCAGCGCCTAGTTAATAAAATGTTCGAGCATCAAGTAGGCAAATCCATGGAAGTGTATATTGATGATATTCTAGTTAAGTCCCTGCGCGTAGAGGACCATTTAACTCATTTACAGGAAACTTTCGACATCCTCAAAGGATACAACATAAAGCTCAACCCCGAGAAGTGTGCCTTCGGAGTAGGTTCAAGCAAATTCCTAGGCTTCATGGTATCAAACAGGGGGATCGAGATCAACCCCGACAAAATTAAGGCCATCGAAGAAATCACGATGGTAAACAACGTAAAGGCCGTGCAACGGCTAACAGGGCGAATAGCGGCTCTGGGCAGATTCATATCAAGGTCATCAGACAGGAGCCATCATTTCTTCTCTTTACTCAAAAGAAAGAACAACTTCGAATGGACTCCAGAATGCCAACATGCCTTGGAGGAGTTAAAATGATATCTGACCAGCCCGCCTCTGCTCCATACGCCAAAGGAGGATGAAACACGATACCTGTACCTGGCCGTGTCCGAAATAGCAGTAAGCGGCGTGCTGATTCGAGAGGAGCAAGGTATGCAATTTCCTGTTTATTATGTAAGCCGGACCCTAAGGGATGCCGAAACCAGATACCCCCATCTAGAAAAATTGGCTCTCGCGCTAATAAGCGCCTAGCAAAAATTGAAGCCCTATATTCAATGCCACCGTATTTGCGTTCTATCGACATATCCACTCCGAAGCATACTGCACAAACCCGAGCTGTCGGGACGATTGGCCAAATGGCCCATCGAACTCGGGGGGGGGGGGGGTGTATGATATCGAGTATCAACCTCGAATGGCCATCAAGTCCCAGATTCTGGCGGAATTCATGGCCGATTTCTCTCCCTCCCTCGTACCCGAGGTAGAGAAGGAACTTTTGCTAAAATCAAGCACGTCTTTCGGGGTATAGACCCTGTTCACAGACGGTGCCACAAACGTAAGAGGATCCGGGCTCAGAATAGTCCTGAAGCCACCCCTTGGCGGCGTAATCAGATAATCTATAAAGACTGCAAAATTGACTAACAATGAAGCCGAGTACGAGGCTATGATTGCAGGTTTAGAACTGGCTAAAAGCTTGGTGAGCCGAGATCATCGAGGCAAAATGAGATTCACTCCTGGTAGTAAGCCAGGTGAATGGAAGCTACAAAGCTCGAGAAGACAGGATGCAGAGATATCTAGATAAAATCCAAGTCGCGCTACGTCGCTTCAAAGAGTGGACCTTAGTCCATGTACCTCGAGAGCAGAACAGCGAGGTCGATGCCCTCACAAACCTAGGATCATCCGTTGAAAAAGAGGACCTACTCCCCGGGGTTGTTGTTCAATTATCTAAATCAGTAGTCGATGAGGGTTATGCCGAGATTAATTCCACCAACCTAACTTGGGATTGGAGAAATAAATATATTGATTATTTAAGACACGGATAGTTGCCCGCGGATCCAAAAGAATCGAGGGCCCTGCGAACCAAAGCATCCCGATTCTCGCTCGACGAAAACGAGACTCTATGCAGAAGAACTTTCAATAGCCCCCAAGCAGTATGTCTAGAGCCGAGTGATACAGATTATGTACTCCGAGAAATTCAAGAGGGCACTTGCGGAAACCATTCCGGCGCCGACTCCTTAGTCCGAAAGGTGATCAGGGCAGGCTACTACTGGGACAACATGGAAAAGGACACCAAGGAATTTGTCCGAAAGTGCGACAAATGCTAGAGATTCGCCCCCATGATTCACCAGCCCGGCGAACAACTACATTCGGTCTTATCGCCATGGCCATTCATAAAATGAGGAATGGACATCGTCGGCTCCCTGCCAACGGCACCAGGTAAAGCTAAATTCATTTTATTTATGACTAACTATTTCTCAAATGGGTGGAAGCGCAGGCCTTCAAGAAAATAAGAGAAAAAGAAGTCATTAACTTCATATGGGATCACGTTATGTGCCGGTTCGGAATTCCCTCCGAGATAACATGAGATAACGGGAGGCAGTTCATCGGGAGCAAGGTAACACAGTTCCTTGAAGACCACAAAATCAAGAGAATCCTATCAACGCCTTACCACCCGTGTACAAACGGCCAGGCCGAGTCCACAAATAAAACCATCATCCAGAACTTGAAAAAGAAGCTAAAGAGCGCCAAGGGAAAGTGGAGAGAAACGTTGCCCGAAGTACTATGGGTATACCGAACAACTTCAAAGTCAAGCACAGGGGAAACACCTTTCTCTCTATTATACGGTGTCGAGGCTTTGATACCAGTGGAAGTCGGGGAGCCGAGCACCAGATTCCAACACACTACCAAGAGCTCGAACAACGAAGCCATGATAACGGCCCTCGAACTACTAAATGAAAATCGAGAAGCCTCACTGGTCCGAATGGCCGCCCACAAGCAATGAATCGAAAGGTATATAACAGGAGAACAAACCTCCGGTACTTCGGGGTTGGAGACTTAGTCCTAAAGAAAGTCAGTCTCAACACCCAAAACCCTAATGAAGGAAAGCTAGGCCAAAATTGGGAAGGACCGTACCGTGTCCTCGGAGTAGTCGGCAAAGGGTCTTATAAGCTCGGCACCATGGAGGGCGAGCAGCTTCTGAGCAAGTGGAACATATCAATGCTAAAATGGTATTATTGCTAGGGCATCCGATTGAAAATTCTGTAAAAACTCTCGAGCAGGCGTTGCACTCTTTTCCTTCGACCGGATTTTGTCCCCAGAAGGGTTTTACCGGCAAGGTTTTTAACGAGGCAACGATCATATGCTACCTAAGTAAACTCAACAAGTATTCAAGATTTCTTTTGCGGCCCACCTCGAATACTGGGAGGCATTTTCCCCCCGAAAGGTCACCTGCACGAGAAAGCCAAGATATCTCAAATAAAACCTCGATAAGAAGGTAATGTACCGGGCTAAACGGTCGAACGAACCGTGCCCGTATAAGAACAACTGAGCCCTTGAACGCAAAAATGTGTACGCTTGTACCAAGTAATCAGAGAATACTTTTCATCAAAGCATTTCGCCTTGATGAGGCAATATCATAAACATATTCTCCTTTTTTTTATGTTCTAGCTAAGGGGACTCCCCTATCAGAAAGTGTCCCGAACACTCGAAGACTGGCGCCGATATCTCCAAAATCGCGTGACCTCAGGGTCGGAATCTCCAAAATCGTAAGCCCTCAATGAGTCAATATCAAAATCTACAAGTAACGGCTCCCGAGCCAAAATACCCTCGACGACTCGAGGACTGTCGCCAATCTCCATTCAACAGTTCGATGCCTGAACGACCACCGGGTCAGAACTTCGAACTCATACGCCCTCAACAAGGCAACATCAAAATCAAAAAATGTCTCCAAAACCGAAGGTGTCCGGAACACTCGGAGACTGGCGCCGATATCTTTAAAATCGCGTGAGCTCAGGGTCGGAATCTCCAAAATCATAAGCCCTCAATGAGGCAATATCAAAATCTACAAGTGACGGCTTCCAAGCCAAAGTACCCTCGATGACTCGGAGACTCTCGCCAATCGCCATTCATTAAAAAAGCCGAGGCCATAAGACCGCAAGCGGGTAGGCTCGGTCTCGTAAGACCTACAGAAGGCACCAGCAAAACTGTAAGACCTCAAGCAAGGAATGAATAATACTTGTACCAAGTATCCAAAACTGTAAGACCTCAAAGGCATGAAAAATTTGTAAGACCTTACTACAAGCATAAACTCGATCCCGAAGTTTAGGCTATATATCGAACTTGTAAGACCCCTAAAAAGGAATACCCTCGATATAGACACCTAAACTACTTCACTCTTGACCAAAATGGCTACGACCAAGCACAAATGACTACGGTCATACGGCTGTACCGGCCGAACTAACGCGACTCGGGGATGCCCGACCGTCGCTACAAAATCACAGGCCATTACTTCGAATCTACTTCGAAAAGAACCGGTTAAAAAGGCTACCCTCGGAAAAAGAGCTTCGACCATGTCAGCTCCAAATCACAGGCTTCGAGCTACTCAGCCTCCGAGCCAAACCTTTTGAGGTGCTCGAACATCGCCACAAAATGACTCGAAATCGAGGTTCTTCCTGAACCGACGACGGGTCAGGCAAGAATTACTTCAAAAGTCCTTAACGAGAGTAAAATAAAGCCAATGAAAGAACGCTTCGACCCAAAGCGTAAGAGCCATTGTCGCCAGCTTACATTAAAAGGCCGCATCGGCCC